GGCCATCATTGAAGCTCAAGTCAACAAATACTGCACTATGATAGAATATGGCCACCCTACAAAAATAGCTGGTCTTACGGAGCAAGTCAATCAGAAGTCTAAGGAATGGTCCAAAGAACCAAAGACCACCTTCAGCACAAAGATTCACTTTAAATTCCTCAAAGGAAAATGTGGTGCTGATGGAGTTGATTTTGGAACAATTGCTATAGAGAACCATCAAGAAGTAGAGAAGGACAATATTGTCACACCATTGTGTGAGCCAAAAATAACAAGCAGGACACTATGCTGAAACGGTATATGGGATTTTGGAGTGACCCCAGCAGGTGACTATGTAGCAACAGGATGACGTGATTCCACCACATGTATATATGACAGAAATCATACGCTGAAGAAAGACTTGAAAAGAAACTTCTTTGCGGTAACCATAACAAAAGATGGAAACCTAGCATTCACCGATGGCTACACCAACAAAATAAGCATCTACAACATTGAGGGTACTCATCAAAGTGATATAGTCTGCAGAGAATTATCAAAGTTGTTGGGAATAGCAATAAACGCTACAGGGGAGCTTGTGGTGATAGCCATGCCAAAACTACAAATGTATACATTGTTGATCAATCTACTGGAGAGTCTGAGCCTCAATCTGGCACATTCAATTCTCCTCACAATCTCACCTCCAACAGTAAGAATGTCAACATAATAAGTGACTGTTACGGACATTGCATAAGAGGAATTGACAAGGATAGCACAGAGGTCTTCAGATACGGAAGCCAGGGCTTTAATGATGGTCAGCTGTCGTATCCCCGTGGCATATGTAGAGATAAAAGAGATAATATATTTATCGCAGACAGTAGAAACAAAAGAGTTGTTCTCCTTAGTCCTGAGGGTAATTTCCTAAGAAATATACTTACAAGTGCTGATGGGTTACATTATGTTAATGCAGTTGCAATCAGCAATGATGGCAGACTCCTTGTAGGAGATGGTCAAGGAAAACTATTCAGCATCAAGTACAGGGAATAAGGTAATGTAGAACCAGTGCTATGTAGTAACTGAGAATGGCGAGCCATGTCAACCCCAAGTACAGATTGTACTTATTATAAAGAACAGCATAATCAATTCCGATGAATTTTAAAGAAAGATTTAGTACTATGTCAATTTATGAACTACTCTAAGTTAAATATTATATATAATGAAAATGCTTTTGTATTATATTGTACATGAAATTATTGTAGTTGATTTGACCAATGGTTGTGATGACTTGGGCTGAGATGGCATAGGATTGAGTTAACCAGGAAGCATTGATAACCCGTGAATATATCCTAAAGTTTGTGATGTCTGAATAGTCTAACCAAACCCGTCTGGCCCAGTTATCTACTCCTGACATCGTAGATCTACGACATTTCAGAATCGGGGAATAGATAACTGGGCCAGACGAGTTTGGTTATGAATGGTCCAGATGTGTAACAATAAATGTTCACTTTTTGATACAGCAACACAAGTTCAGCAGAAAAGCCTTGATCGTTATGACAGGGTATAGAATCTTTTAAGGATATAAACTTCTTTCTTAACATGCCCATATTCTACATTGCAGGCATTGGGACTATTTAATACGTTAACAATGACAAGCTGTTCCATACTATGCTGTGATGTAGATGCCTGATGACAAACTATAAATATTTTATGAATTAACGATGAACATAATTCCATGCTTATGTACAAACTGCATGGTGAAAAATGAAGGTAGCCGTACAATTTCAAGCAAACTGATTGAATCCTTTGGGAGTTATGACCAAAAGAAAACATGATATTTCAGCAATGGCAGCCATTTTCAAATTACACAAGATATTTTACCAAAAATTTGAGATATTATTGTTTTCCTTGGCTATCTTTATAATTTCATTCAAAAAAAAAAAACTTTTTGGTATTTGTTGACATTGTTGTTAATCTATAAAATAAGGAATTTGTACAATTTCAAGCAAATTAATCGAATATTTTGGCAAAGATTCAAAATGGCCACCACTTTTATTGTCAAAATATCATCTTTATGTTATATATGTTGTACAATGTTAATAATGATATATAAATCTAAAGGTGGACAGCTTCTCTATATCCCTCACAAACTGCATTTGTTGGGATAACTAGATTCCCTCTGATTCTAATATATGACAACACAGGCACAGTCTGGCGTATCCTTAAATACTTTTAATGAGCAAAAAATGACTTCAGAAAAATGACTTTTTGACCAATTAAAATTGAGAAAATAACAATTGTATAATAACAATAACAAACCTTCATGAATATCTGGAACAGGTATAGAGAGTGCATGTGTCTTGCCTTCATCAGGTACCTACAGGTTGCAGTCAGGTAGATGTTCCACTTCTCCAAGGTTGGGTCGTGCATCAACATCTGGTCCTCAACTCGCCTAAACTCACCCATATCTAAAGAGGGCACTACAAAACCCTCAATGAATATTTCTGGCACACATTTCTGAAATCAAGTCAACGATTGTTGGCATAATATTTTTATTTTTGTGAATGCAAATCTTGCTGCCATTAATCAAAAATTACATACTGCATGTACAACTTCAATATTGTCAAACAAAATCTCACCTTATCAATAATGTACTGTGCAGCTTTCATCCAGTAGCCATGTCTTCTATAGAAAGACACATTCGCTAGGTAGTTGCCATAGGTCTTGATGTAGTATAAGCTCTCTTGCAGCTGGGGTTCTTGTAAATCTCTTTCCTCAGCATAGATCTACCAATAATATTCCATTCATGAATATTTCAATCTGTTTCAATAATTCAGTGAGTTAAATTTCACAGGTTTCAACAGGTCGACGAAATGTTCTATTTTGGTAACTAGAAATGCTATCATTTGCTGTGGTAATGATGTTTCATCTCTAAAGATACCTTAAAATTCATAATTCATGGTCATATCTTGACATTCTCTGAAATTTAACCTTGATTTTCATTGTGGTTATTACATTTGTCATATATAATATTTTTTGCATTGTTTGAAATAATGATAGTTTACAAACTGGAAAACCTCATCTTCACGGAGTAGCAAATCCCACAGAACAAACATATTTTAATAAATACGTTGTCATTTGACTCTTAAAGTCTTATGCCCCTTTAGCATCAGCATAAAGCATTTGAACCATATCTGCCCACTGGTATTGGAGCTATCAAAGATTATGCTTTTTTTATAAAAAATGGTGGCCACTTTGAAATTCAGCAGCCATCTTGAAAACATCTTCGTTAGCAAAGCTCCTTTGTCCCTAGGTATCAACATATAAAATTTGAGCCAAATAAAAAAATGGTGGCCATTTCCTTTTCAAGCAGAGAGGTCCTACACCCATAAGGCATAAGCTTAAAAATATGAGTCAAATACATCAACAGGATAGCTAGATGAATGAACAGAGGGACAAATGGACTAACAGATGGACAGCTTTTCTATATCCCTTTCAAACTTTGTTCGGTGGTATAATTAAAAGTAAGGATAGAAACATCGAAAATATTCAAGAATAAAATATATTTCCAGACCTTTACAGAACAAAACATGCTTTAAATACAATAAAACCTGATATATTCAGATTTATTAGTCTCTATTTCAAAACAGTGATAGTAGAGACTGATGAACCCACAATGTTATATATAACCTAAGTTCATATGTTTAGTTAATAACAATTGTGGACATGCTGCTTCATTAATTAAATTCACTGTTGTCAGCAGAAACGTCTTATCACCTGGCTGCATTGACCGTTGAACAGTTCTTGCCCCCTCCATAGCTTTACATTAATATTATATTTATATTTACATTACACATATAATATATATATATCTTTTATCGACTCTTTAGATGTCATATCATGACATATTAGTCACTTAGGTAGAGCAGTTCTTCCCATATGGAGTTGTAGAACTGGTATCTTTATCCTGGCTAGAACCATAGACAATTCTAGCCAGCGCCAGCCTTTTATCGAGTTAGCAGCACTCTAGTAATCGCCGGTATAGGTCAGCAGTCATAGGTCAAAGACAAATCACAAGAAGTGCTGTGACCTGGGTTTGAACCCAAGACCTCTACTTTTCAGCTTGAAGCCAGACAATATATTATTATATAATATTTATAATATATTAATGGCCTCATAGCATTTACACATGTCATAAGAATTGAGCTGCTACTTCACATGTTGTATAATAGTTAGATTACGTCTGACCTCATCTCCCTATACAGGACACCTCTATGATATAATACAAGATTCATCATGCTTCCTGATTTAAAATGAATTTAAAGAATCGTAAAATTGTCTACCCTCAAAAATGGCAGCCTTATCACTTGTGAAAGATGTACAGGTATTCACCTCAGTAGAATGAAATATTTTATTATCTGGGGTCTCATTGTGAATATTTTAAGCTAAAAATAGCAGAAATGCAAAGGACTAATCTAATCATATCTAATCATATTTGAAATATACATGTACTTTGAAAGGAATGGGAATGGATACTGTGAAACACTTTAACCAATCTTTTCTAAAAGTATGCCAATGTAGATTCCTCACAATGAATCAAAAATTACTTCTCTCCTTCCTTTTTACTCTCTTTTAACCGACTCTTTCAATTTTTTCATAAAGTACCACATCAATCTCTTTATAAAGAATCTAAAATTATCCGTCATAAGATAAGATGAATATTAGAGAATTCTTTCATTGAAATAAGTTTCCTACGGGGAAATCAATCCAACATGATGTAATTAATTATAACTGAATTACAGTTCAGACCTACAGGGCTAATAACAACATGATACAGACACAACAAGGCAGACACGAACAAGAGTCCGAGCTGTGAACATGAAGAGTAAATATCTACCATATCTGATGATATCACAAATTGCCATATTGTTTATAGGGCTTCAATTCAGCAATTGTGATGTAGAATTACATAAATGTAATGGTGTGAAAATAAAGCTAAAACATTGGGCCAGTGCTACAGTAAGCTGCGAAGGAAGATGTGGAAGTCACATAAATGACACAATAATGTCGCTGTCATGCTCATGTGACAGAGACTGCAACATGTACGACGATTGCTGTGAAGACTTTAGGGATATGTGCCCAAATTTAGCAAGAGGCCTAGAAGGATTGGGACCAAGATTCCATTGTGGAATGTCATTAGGAGGAGGGAAACATGTATATGTTATCGCCACATGCCCTAACGATGGTACACTAGATAAAAGTCTTCTGGACAAGTGTTTGAGTACAGAGAGCAAAATTGGCTTGCTTACTACACCGGTTGTTGATAGACAAACAGGGTACCACTACAGAAATATATTCTGTGGAATATGTAATAGGATCAACTCAGAACAAATGGTAGCATGGACAATAAACATGGGTACTCCTGGACCATTAGATATCAAAGATATGATGTCAATTCTAGACGTCGAACAAACAGGCCAAACTATTCAGATAACATATGATCCATATGTAGTACCTGACTTTCCACCAAGGATATGTGCTTTAAAATATGATTACTGCACAGGTGAATGCCTTAATGCAACAATCGTTGAGAAGTGTACAGAATCTGGAGGAATGGTTGTTCATAACATATGGGGAACTACTTTCAAGAATATATACTGCGCACTTTGCTCCTCTGACGGAGTTCTTGCAGCAGGAGCAAGGATCTTCAGTGGATACCCACCTTCGAATGGGTATCCTTCAGTAAGGCAACCATTTTACTCATTCAAGCTACAGATTGATATCAGAGAAGACCCTGGTTTTTATCTTTCAACTGTTACACCAGGAGTCGGTTACCTGAACAGTGAACCAATAAGAAGTATCTGCAAGGTGATAGATAACCATTGTTGTCTCATTGATTGTGGAGCCTCGGCAATTGTCTCAACAAATGGCGCTAGATGTAAGCAAAGGAAAGACAAGTGGATGGCAAATGTGAACTTAACAATTGCAATGTATAGTTTTACGATTGGAATCACTGGCTCACTGCAGGAGTATCTTAACTACAATGGTTTACAAGGATCGGGATATATTCAGATCACTCACAGGGAAAGTTATAATCTCGGTTTTTTATACAAACTAAGTCTAGTGCTCATGTTTGATCAAGACTACACAAAAGTCAAAATGAACAATATCATAAATGAAACATTTTCAAATCTTGATAAATTCTACATGAACAACACTAAAATTGGAATCTATGTTAGCGACGTGACATCAGTTGAGTTTGAGTATATTATTGGTGAGGACGTCATGACAACACAGAACAAAACACAGGAGAATTGTGATATCATGACAACACAGAAAATAACACATGAGAATATTGATATCATGACAACACATAAAACAGAAGAGGAAAATGGTGTAAATGTGACACAAGAGGACGCCAAAGGATCAACGGTTAAAACCAGTGGTGCAATAACAAACAAGAGTGGTCTTTTTGTTTGTCTCATGTATGCATCTTTGATTCAGTACAGATGAGTTATTAGACATATTAATAACAAATTACATCATTCACTATACAGCTCAATGGGATAGATTAAAATACCTTCTCAAACTTATTTCTTGGGTGAAAATAAGGCTCTAATTGGTGGTGTAAGTCAGAGAAGGAGGTACCAGTTGAGGTAAATTTTAAAGATTTGGATAATGAAGGAAGCAAAATTGAATTTCTTCTTAGGGGACATACCTGTAAAATTGTTAAATTTGAAGGCTTTTGTGCTTAAGAAGGCAATTCATTTACAACTAAACTAAACTGAACTAAACTAGTACAAGAACAGGCCCGTCAAAGTGGTAATAATATGGATTAAAATTGTACAGGTGTGACTTACCACAGGTGGCTCAGCAATCAGGTCCTTAATAGACATGTGTGGTGCATCTAGTGCAGGGATCTAAAACACAAGTAAGCCGGTTGGAATATGGGTGGAATGCTAAACAGAGAGTATTCAAAATGGGGAGAGGAAGAATACAGATTTTATTCACATGAACAATATGATACAGATCAGAGAAAATACTTGACTGATTAAAGACATCAGGCTGAGTGCCAATTTGAAACAAAATTCATTTTTTATTTTTGAAAGCTCTCTTGCAGGAAATTATGGGTAAATTAATTTGAAGTTTATGTATTTTATGTTTAAATTTGAAACTGCCCCATCCCCATCACTATGGTTAATTGTTAGCCTAATTGGCAAAAACTTGTAATATAAAATTATATGTAATCTATAAAAAATTGCATCATATTATATAGCAACACAAAACTTGTTTCTCTTATTTTTACCTATCAAACAGCGCATATGCGTAGGACACTACAGATTCATAAATAGATTTCAATAGAAACAAGGCATTAACATGCAAAATGTCACCACCCGCCATTTGTTACAGACGCTGACTGCCAACTGCTGAATACCAACTGCCAACCATAAAAAGCTGACATAAAAACTGCATATATGCAGCTGTATTTATTTTTAAGGCAGCTGTATTAACTTATAATGCAGCTGTATTAACTTTGAATGCAGCTGTATTAATTTTTAATGCAGCTATATTAATTTTAAATGCATGTACTCACACTTATGGTTGCAACCCTGGGCATAGCCTCCAAACATGAGATAATATCAGTCAGGATCTTAGGGGCTTCTTGTGCATTATTCCTATCCTTTGGCACCTAAACAAAAACATATCAAGGCTGATTTAAGAATACAGTCGTGAACTTTCTGAGGCAGCAATTTCTTTTACAGCAGCAAAACTTGGCACATAAATATATAAATATCACATCTTAATTATTTGCAATAAAAATAAGTCAAATAACAATAATGGTGATCTACAAATTACTTAGTGGCATACTGTTTAACATAGAACATGAGACATAGAAGATCAAAAATGGAGAAGTCACTTAAGAAAATATGTTTCTAATATAAATGTACACAACATGGAAGTCATTCTAAATCACTTACCTTTAAACATTTGGCAAATTTCTCCCTGGCTCCCTTGAAGTCACCAGCAGTAAGACATGCAGTCCCCCATGCTACCCATACCCCCATGGGTTCCAAACCACATTTGGTAGACACCTCCATTGCAAGAGACAGGCGTTCATCTTCAATCAGCTTGTCTCGCATTCTCCTTGGATTAAAATGAGACATTATTTTAACCTCTTGACTATCTGGAGTGACAAGCTTTCCCACCTCAGAAATTATCTTGAAACCCAGAGTGACAAGGAAATCTGTCATCAAATTTTTCACTAAGGGAATCTAATCTAATTTTACTATGTTGAGCATCAAAAGTTGTACAGGTATGTAGTAAAATGTCAAAAGGTGGCAAAAATGAAAAATTCTCTGGTTTCAACCGATTTTAGAGCCTGGGATTCAAGAGGTTAAAAAACAAAGAAGAAAGTGTGCATTATATGATTATTATGGGCATTGATTAAGTACTTTTTACTGTAACATGTGTACATCTAAACATGGTCATGATCAAAATAAAACTGTAATGTCTGATTTGGCTCAACATTGTATTTCAAAAGTTGATATTTTTGGTAGCTATGCATCTACTTCCTACCTCAATCAATTCTAACATGCATTTACTACATTTTCCTTGGTGTCAAAAGTTTTGGATTTCTCAACTTGCCGTGGCATTTGCTTTAGTTTTGAGCTTTTGAGTTTTGATTTAATTTCATATTTTCATCTAACTGGGTACTGAACCAGGGTTCTCTTGCACAAGAGGAGCATGCTTCACCAAATGAGCTCTATGGCAAATAGATATAAAGTCAGACACACATACACAAATCAAATGGTTACCTCAATGAGTCTATTTTGGTGAGCTCTAGTATAGAAGGTATGTCTTTGCAGTTTGCCTTTATCAGAAGACTAAGTAGGTCCACCCTGCTTCTGTACACCTCACACTGTTCAATCCCTGATGTATCATGACCTTTTAGGAACTTCATCTTTGCATTGAATAGCAGATACCTCAACATGCTGGAAGGAAGTTGATTTCATTAATAAAGTTGATGAAGTGGTTTATGAAGCCCATTGTTCTCTGTATAGACAGGCATGTAGCCTGGGGAGTGGGGGTTCAGGGGGAAAACATTATTTCAATAACATGCAGTTTTTCACATTTTTGAGCACTTTTCATATTTTGGCCCAAAATTGTCAAATATGAACCTCCCCCTTGGCTATGGACCTATACAAATCTATGAGGGTATAACCAAAAGTCTTATACTATGCGAGTACATGTTACTAGAATGGTCTCTCTGGATATTCCTAAATTAGGATTTGTCCTAAATCATACATTCCTGACTAAATATCCAGTGGAAGTCGTGGAAAAATATTAGGTCTAATCACAATTCTGAGATCTACACCAGTATATTATTATAATGCAGTTCATGAATGCATGTATATATATATGGTTTTAATGGGAGAAAAGGTTAGATTTCTATAAATCTAGTAATCATATTCATTATCACTAAATTACCTTATGACAAAGAAATAATCCACTTCTGGGTTAGCAACCCCTGGAGAAATTGGCTTCAAAAGTTTGGAGACATCATCACATAACTTTAGTAGGAATCTCCCACATTCAACAGGTAAACTGTGCAACTCCAGTAGGGACATACACAATGATGTACTAGGTGCCTAGAAATATCACATAGAACCTGAGAAAATATCCTTTATTCATTATCATAAATCAATCATTATTAGATTTTTGTGTACAAATGAATAATGGACTTTTTAGAAAAAAAGATATAAAGGAGCCCGATTGGGTCTAAAATTGAAACAATTTCGTAAACTAACTTGCTTCCATTGTTTTTCCCTTAATTAACCCTTTTATATAACTTACATATTCATAGAAGAATTCCTCTCGTACAGCTTCATTTGCTTCCTCATCCAGAGACAGTTGCCATAGAAACTCCTGTGTCTGAAGACCCTCCTCATCTTGTTGAGAGATGACAGCTGTCTCCTCACTCAGGGTGGATACTCTACTCTTGGGGGTGCTTCCCACTGGTAATATAGTGCCTGGAAGTATAGTAATTTATGACCACACAACCTAAGTATCCTTTGAAATATGAATTCAAAATATTTTAAACCGAGCCAGAAATATTTTTAAGCCTCTGTCATTTGTACAGAGGTATATGCTGCATGGTTCAAAGGTTGCCAAAATGAATTTGAGTAAATATAAAGAGAATGTCTCTATGAATATAGATTAAGGGTAGAGTAAAATCTCTAGATATAAAAGGTGTTAAAGGCCCCATGGAAAGATGCAAATATTGTTTTTCACATTTTTAAAGATATTTCAATTATCAGATTTAGTAAAGGTACATTAATAACGAAATTGGTTTTAATTGTACACAGGGCCTCCACCTACCTGAAAGTCTCTCTTTCAATCTATCCTGGACTGATTCCTGTGCTTCTCTTCTGAAATGAACAATATTGAAAAGAAAATATATTTTTTGTGTATACCTCTTGGAAACTTGGAATCAACAAAGGCGTTTGGATTGCTGTAGTTGAGGCAAATGATCCTTACAAAAGTTCATATAATAAACTGGATAAAAAAGACAACAAAGCATAGCAAATCCCATTGAACATCTTGCTAAGCTTGTTATAGCAAACTTAGATGAACTGCTAATTCAAAACATTTTCATGTACTATGAAAGTTCAAAGAAAATGTTTACGTCTTAACTGAAAAAGTAATTTTTTTTGAAAGATTGCAAGAGCAAAACCATAATAAAATAGAACAACACACACCATGGTAAATTTTGCAATTCAAAATTATTCTAATTAGTTATTTGAACCTGATCAGATTTTGGCACTTGTCTGCTCTTGCATTTTAAAAAATTCAATTTGAACATGTAAGCAGTTTTCCTGGAATCTTGATGACAACCCTTATGTGGCCTCCAACCCAAACATATACACTATCCGTACACACAGGCCCATTGCTCAAGACTGCAACAATATACACTTTGAAAAAATGCATGATAAATGGACTGAATTAATATGAAAAAATTACCTTGGTCTAAATATCTGTTGGTAGCAGTCATCACATGTCCTGGCAGAGATCCCACGTATTATAGTTGTCTTTGATGAACAGGCAGCACACACAACGCGCCCACATCTTCTACAGTGGTGACGTCTTGTGAACTAAAACAAAAGTATATACAGATATTACAAGGTAAATGATGATTAAATGGTGGATAGGGAGGAAATGAAGAATAAAACAAAAGTAAAACTGCAAATCTTTTTTTGAAAACATTTAAGAAAAATCTACAATTTTTTATACAGTTTTGGGCAAACCAGAATTTAAGTTGCATGAAGAACCCATAAATACAGAAAATGTAAAGTATTACATACCATGCTAAATCTTTGTACAGAACAGACCATGCATGCTTGCACTGTCTCATCTGGCACCCAATCTTCCTTAGAGGGAGGGGAGGATGGCATTACAAACCCCTGGGGTGTGGTGGACATTGATTCCCTTTGTGGTGCAGAGGTGGAATGTCTTTTTGCAGAGCTTGGAAAACTTTGACTTGTTCGTGGAGACAGAGCAAGGGCTGAAAAATAAATAATGATGAGCATTGCATACTTATGATTCCCAGCATATTTTCCTTATTAATTCAGGCACTGCAAACACATGATCATTCAATTATAGTAACTGATGTATACTTAAATCATTCTTGTATGAACATGATACTCATTATTCCTCACCCAAAGGTCATTAGTTCTAGCCTCTAAGTTTTTGCACAAATGGGAAGATAGATATACCAAATAGATATACCTAATACAAATTATTTATATTGATATATATCTTAAATAAATGCTTTTGTGGATTCTGTATGAAGGTATGCTAATGCAACAACTCTACAGATTTGAACTCCATTTTACATGAGAATGTTGCTCCAAAAATAAAGCAGCCCTGGTATGATCTATGCTTCAAACAGGGCTTGAAATAAGGCCCAATCAAATGGTCAACACCACATTAATTTTGATACTGCCAGGTGATATCTTTATTATTTTCTAATACATTATACATTGTTGACCAGATGCTCACAGACTAAGCTGAATCTCTGGTTACAGGTTTTAGCTTCACATAATTTCATCCAATTGGTATCCAATCTGACAGAACTATTCTGTACCCCATGTCAAGGAACAGTAATTCTGTCTTCCCTGATTGTCTAAGATCTACTCACAAGCACGGCTTGCGCTTCTGCGCATGCTACTAGCAGTAGGAGTCCTCCCAGACTCTGGTGGTCCCACCGTTGATGTCATATTGGTTCTTAATGAAATCATTGAAGTTGTGTCGCTTGGAATGTCTGAAAACAAATGCATATAATGTCAACCACAGAGCAACATTTAGCTTTAAAGCTAACAAAAATTGAAATCTTATAACCTGCAAAAAGTTATTGTAGACTGACTGTAAAGTGGTAAATGAATAGCACTGTAAAGTGGTAAATGAATAGCATTACCATTTGAGCCCAAATAACTATAAAAATAAGAAATATAGATGATATGCTACAACTTTGAGGGATATTATTCTTATTTAGAAGTAGACCAATATCATCACAAGCATGTAAAGAAGAACTGGATTACAAATATCAATAATAGCAATTATCAGAATGCTTTTATACTGAGCTATAATTAGGACGCTGAACATGAACTAAACGATTTATCCAGGCCTACGGAGAGTGATTGTAAAAATTCTAAAGTAAAATGTGAAGCATTTCTCAATACAATAGTGAATTTAGAAATTTGAGTCTTTTTAATAAAAACTTGAAAAACAAATCATAATGAAGATGAACACATGGACAGATGGCTTTCTAAAATACCCCAGCCCATCCAAGTTCAAAAGTTCAACTAAGTAAGGTAATGACTTACTATTTTGCATATTGAGGATAGGAAAGTCTAGAGCTTTAGAGGCATAGCTTGTGATGAGGTCATCAAACACAGTAGCAGTGAAACCTAGACTTCCTGATGGCAGCCTATGTAGCTCAGGCTTGGCATTCTGTAGTGCTTTGGAAAACCACTCTACCTACAATTGGAACACACAAAATTGTGAATATTATGAGCTAAACAGTTATTAAAATTTTTTTATTTCTACTTGATTTCCCTTTGCATTCAATTAGAAGGAGTGAGGCATTTATTATGGTATCTAACATCTACCTTTACATTTATAATTAGCTTCACAAGCAACAGTTATGGGGAGAGATATGATATCCAATACCTGAATAACATATTTGCTAAAAACCTACCTGGCAACATGAATGAGGAGGATACTAGTATGATATGTAACACCTACCTTGCCATTCATAAGTGCTATAGCAACAGTTAAGGGAAAAATATGATATTTAACACATACCTTTCATTTGATAAGGAACTGCTCAAGGAAGGATATGATATTTAACACATAACTTTCATTTCATATGGAACTGCTCCAGGAAGGATATGATATCTAACACCTACCTTTGCATTCATAAGGAACTGCTCTAGCAACAGTAAAGGGGAGGATATAAGATGCTCATATTCAGTTAGACACCAATCTGGCAGCACCTCCAACATCTAGGAGAAAAATTCATATGTACAGACACATTTAAAAAAACATAATTAAATACATTGAAATCTATGATTCACCATATTCTTCATTCTCTGAATTTGATCTGGCCAGAGCGTGCTGGTATTGGGTGAAATATTGATATGATACTGTATCATTCAAATTAAAAAAATCATTATACAAGCCATGGGCTTTCAATTAGACCAACATCCGGGTTTTGTACATATATATCTTTTATTGACTCTTTAGATGTCATATCATGACATATTAGTCACTAAGGTAGAGCAGTTCTTCCCATTGTCGAGTTGAAGAACTGGTATCTTTATCCTGGCTAGAACCATAGACAATTCTAGCCAGCGCCGGCCTTTTATCGAGTTAGCAGCACTCTAGTAATCGCCGGTATAGGTCAGCAGTCATAGGTCAAAGACAAATCACAAGAAGTGCTGTGACCTGGGTTTGAACCCAAGACCTCTACTTTTCAGCCTGGAGCCAGACTTCCTGCTTTTCAGACCAATGCCTTAACCACTAGGCCAACCCGGTGACCACATAATATAACTATACGACATATAATTGCGTCAATCCATAGAATTGAACTTTTTGAAATATTCTCAAATCAACCAAGAAATACCAACCTTAGCTCCAATAGACAGGAGATGTATCTCATCAATACGGGTGCCATCTATATCAGAGCGCAGACGATTTAACATAAACTCTGTCACAAATAGGATATCTTTAGGGGAGGATGATCTTGCTAAAATACCATCACAAATCTCAAGACACATATGAGAGTCCTCCTGAGAAAGGCTTTCTAATAACTGGAATGAAACAATAATATAAATGAAAGCAACAATGACTTTTCTCTATGCACGTAGCACATAATAATTCCAATCACAATTTTTGACCTCTCCATATAAGCCGAAAATAACTGCTTGCATGTATCTGATGCAAATGCACAATGAGTTTCCAATGGAAATCCAAGGGGACTACATTTTACAGAACAACAATGGAGTATTGAATAACTTATATGGGCAAAAAGTAGTTCCTACCTGATATGCTTGTATGGTTGCTGGAGGAGTCTTTCCCAATAAATACAACAGAGCCTCTTGCTCTATTGCCATTCTATAGGGGGTACCAATATCATGAAACTTTGCCCATCGCCTAGCAACATCAAATTCATGTGCTTGTGTAAGCACAACTATGATGTGATCTGGTTTGGCACTTGATGCTTCTAGAATATTTTGCCAAGTTGTCAGTTGCTCAAGTTCATCATGGTTTAAATCTTCAGTCATGTAAAGATTCACGGAGGATTTGATTTGTCGACTTTTAGCAGATGCAGCAATCTTAACATGAAATAATGAATCAGTGAATTAAATCCATTTTCTTATTCGATCACTTTATTTTTTTACAGAAATTTATGCAAATTTCTTAATCAAATTTTCATGTGCCACCTTTCAATATTTTCAATAAAAAATCCAATATTTTTATTTGATTGTGTTTTGCCCATTGTGTATTCTGACTGAAACCTCACTCACCACAAGGTAGACATTCATTTTGTCCAACTGACTCTGGACAGCATCTTTAAGTGGTTCTTCTAGACCCATCTGTTGCGTACACATCTTTAACAGCTCTATACATGTCTCCACAGACCACTGTCTGAGGCCCCCTAACACCACCCTGGCCTGAAAAACAGACGTTGTCATTGACAATATCGATGATGCTATATTGTGGCAATTCACGACCCAATTTGATAGAAATTGGGATTTCATGTGATACATCATCACAAGAGCTAAATACATGCACAAAATTAGTGACGATAAAGTCCCATGAGACGAGGACCAAGTGACTGAAGAATTGAAGCGACGGTTATGTCCGCCATTTGTGACAACGGTATCTGACTTTACCATTGTCAGGCTATTCTGGTGTGAGCTTGCACAACTGGTAAAAAGCTAAAGCAAATTAACTGAAGTTTGATGGTTGGTATTGCAACCTCTTCGTATCCAATATGGCGTCAACCTTATAGGTGGCGCAAAATCATAGTTTGCACTAAAATATGTCACAATCTGGCCTGGTGTGTAATAAGACTGAGAATTTCATTAACCTAAATTCATTATGAGCCTTCAAACTACCCTAGATTAATTATGAGCCTTCTAACTAATCTTAGATTAATTATGAGCCTTCTAACTAACCTAGATTAATTATGAGCCTTCTAACTAACCTAGATTAATCATGAGCCTTCTAACTAATCTAGATTAATTATGAGCCTTCTGACTAACCGAGATTAATTATGAGTCTTCTAACTAACCTAAATTAATTATGAGCATTTATTCTAACTAACCTAGATTAATTATGAGCCCTCTGACTAACCTAGATTAATTATGAGCCTTCTCACTAACCTAGATTAATTATGAGCCTTCTATCTCACCTAGATTAATTATGAGCCTTCCAACTAACCTAGATTAATTATGAGCCTTCCAACTAACCTAGATTAATTATTAGAGCCTTCCAACTAACCTAGATTAATTATGAGCCTTCTAACTAATCTACATTAATTAATTAACACTTGACCCAATCTTCTCTCATATTTTAGCTCAAGATGGTCACAAAGAATCAATTTTGAAGTAAAGTCAATGGAATCTTCCTTATTGGGTTCATGCGCACATTTCCATTATGACATCAAAAATAAATTCTTGATTTTTTAAAGCACAAAAACAGGGAGCTTAATGTTTATAAATTAATTTTGTTTGACAAAAATACTAACTTGCATAGTTGGATTTTGAATCCACATAGCATATTTCCAATCACTTTCAGAATAGCTAGGATTACTGTGTTGGTTACATAGATGAGAAAGGATGTAATCGCGGAGGATGATCAGATCCGTGTGATGTGATGTTGACGCTGCAGGGATACTATCAATAATCTCGAGCATGACCTTCCATTGTTTTTCCTCGACTAGCTGGTCCAATGTATCGTGTACAACTGTGCGGAAGTGGTCTGTGTCATGTAGGAGCAACATACACGCTCTGGTATCTTCATCTAAGGCACAGCTAGTCAGTCTCAACACCTTGTACAAGCATCAGAAATTAAAAGTAAATATTACATAGCTGTAGTATCACAGTTACAATTTTGATAAAGCTTTTAAGTGCGATGAAATCCATAAGAACAGAAAAAAGCATTGGTGAATCTTTTTTGACAAAATAAAATAGAGATACATGTTGTTAGTTTGATACTTGAATGATATAATCTATTTCAAATAGCAGTTCATAAAAACAGAAATTGTGACAACGCTTCAATATATTTATATTTAACAATTACCTTATCAGAGGTTGTCAGTATATCAGGATGAGTCCCTCCTACTAGGGGTATCACGTAGGCCTCCAGGTGGCGCTTCAGGACGGGAAAATCATCTGTCAGCTTCTGGTATCTATAGCTACGTATATCTACTATACTAATGTCTGAGTCTTGAGAGCTTGTACTGTGAAAGGACCCAGATCCAGGAATCTTGTTATGAAGACTTTTAGCCATAGGACTTAATCCTGTGTGGGATGTGGCATCAGAACTATCTATAAAATGTCGCTTATCCATTTCATAATCAATATCGTCAATTTCGTCAGAACATACCAAGCCCACTATTGTTGCTACCAGTGAAGAGCTGTTCTTTATGTACTCCAAGGCTGGTACATTAAGGTTGTACTTGGCTTTAACAAGCTGTGTCATTTGTCGTTGAAAGCTTACACGACTTGATCGAGAACCTGTGCTGATGTCTAAAGAGTCTGAATATTCTATGTTGCTAGGCGATGAAGATACGTTTAACTGTGACTCTGATTGACAATTTGGCTGATGTGTAAAATAGATACAGAAATCTTGTTGGTGAACTGCTTCAATTATTTCCAATGTATCCTTATATTGGGTAAATATTTTGAGTTTATCTCTAAATTCTTCGGATCCATTCTCCCCCAGCCAAGTGATTGTCACCTCTGCGGAGACATCTCCAGTTGCTGTCTGAAGACATTTGACACATTCCAGCAAGCATTTAGGTAGAGACACCTGAAATAAAAAATATGGTAGAATTAACATTGGACAGTCAACAATGTCTTGTAAAATGGAAACAATATCTGGAGTTAAAGAACAAGTATTTTTAACATTATAACTCATTGGAAATACATGTTACTGAATATGTGTACAATGTAATGCTCCAAAATGATTTTAAGAGATAATCACTTGGAAAAAATTGAATGAATAAAATATTTTATTTAATTATTATATGGAAAGAATCATCAAACTTCTTCAAAGACTCATCTCAAATTCTAACTATTGGATTTGGAAAATCTTTTAAATTAATCTTGGTCAGATGAAATAATTCAATGACAATCTAATGAGTTACAATTTAAATGTAATGCTGTATGTCAGATGAAGCAATGGCATTATTATCACGCACCTGTCTCTTCTCCAAGTCTAGAACGACATGGTTATCAACCAAAGAACTGACATACTCTGACACCTGCTGAGAAAGCAGGTCCGGGCTGAATACTAGGAGAGGTGAGATTGGTCCACAGTCAATGAGTAACGATAAGATATATGCGTCCTTATTTGGTAGATATTTCAACCATGGATCCATGAGATCTAAAGCTACAAAAGAAATCAAAACAAAGTAAAATAGAAACTATAAAGAAGTTCTGAGTTGGCTATACTTCAAAGAAAAGTGTCTACAATAGTTTTAGTCTCTAAAACAACCAATTTAATTGTTCAGTATAGCACATAAAGATTAGTTTGTAAGCAATTTCACAGTATTTTGATTTCGCAGGATGCCAGATTGATTACAGTGAGCATACTGTATATTATAAGCATTATCCAATCAATTATCAAATACTGATGAGTATAAAGTTCTAGTTATACAATGTTACACCCCTTATGAATGAACTTACCAAACTCACTGCTGAATATATCATCACAAGATTTCCTTATAAGGTTCCTCATCATAGCTAAGCTAACAATTCCTAGCTCTCCCACTTTGTACGCCATCTTGTTTGTGAAAACAACCCCATCTATTGGGGAAATTGGTATGATATCCTCCTCATTCAAAGAATCAACATCTTCATCTCCCGGGACCTGATGATTCTGCAATATTATAAGAATATGTATTGGAAGGGTCTTGATAACTGAGAGACATCTTTCCCTCCCTTTGTGATCACATTTCTTACATTTATGTTTTTAGGGGAAAAACAGAATGAAACTAACAAGAAATCAATTAGAGGTGTGTCTGAATCCATGAATCCTTAAATTATTGAAATTGAAGCTTTAGCAAGTGGGTCAAGTTGACACTACACCAATCCAATCCTTCATAAATGTAGTCTCAAATCAATGTCCATAATGACTCCTATATCACATTTTGAAGTTTCTATAACGGTACTTATTATGACAAATCAGAGAAGCGATATTTACCTCCATAAGTCTGTATAAAGCAGCATGCAGGGTCATCAGGTTCATCGCGTTCACAAAGAAGCAGACCTTCTCCTCTTGACCTCTGAGTCCCTCCAGAGTGATGTGTTGTAGCTCCTCTGTTGCCTCAGTAATCCTAGCATACTCTGCACTCTCTATAGTACTCATTGCAGCCTGGATGTTGAATACACCACTTGCATTTGTCTTCAGGCCTTGATCTATAACAGAATTTGTGACTTTGTTAGATAGACAATCTAAAGTATTGTTATTGAAGTACATGTATTAGGTTAAATGAGAATTATATCATCAAGCTTTAGCCAATCATATATCATAAAAGAACATCAACATTTTATGTCAAAATAGATGGAATTTGCAGAGTTTATTTTTAATAAAGAAATGAGAGAGAATATGATAACCTTTCAATTATTTTACTTATTATATCCAGCCTAATCTTATGACAATGATTGCTCCATTTTTGAAATTAAATATATTGTAGTAAACATTGATATACATACACAAATGCCAGATTGTTTTCATATACTTGTAAACCAGATCCCTCCAATGTGAAAAATTAGGCAATGGCTTTTTTTCTAAAAACAAATAAGGTCCAGACTACTTCAAAAAGGTTTCACCATATCTTTTATACTGGTCACAAAGTATAATGACCAACCTTTCATTAGAAGCCTCATTTTGGATAAGAGTTCCCTAGCAACCAGCTCAGGATTTCTAGGTGTTTCCTTCCATTCAGCATCCTTCCCATGATTCAACACAATACACCCATGCTGCACCCTTGTGGTGGTCACATCAGGTGGAAGAGACATTCTGTGACTAGGAATTGTGGGACAACAACAAGTCACTATAATATGAGTCAGGTTTAACCTCAACTTCTGAGCAACTGCCTCTAGTCTAAAATGCAGAAAATGTATTATAAACAGTACTATTTTTTTGATACTGGACTTCTTTTACATTACAGCTACGGAGATGAAACGAGAAAAGCACTCACTTCTCTGCAATTATGCTTTGACTTGATTTACAGTGATAGATCATCTTGTCATTTTTGGATTTAGCTCCCAAGATGTAGGCTGTTTTTTGCTGATTTTCAAATCTGATTAAAATCCAAGTTAAAAGCACCCCTAAAAATTCCATGACACATCATAAGCTTGTCCTTGTGCCATTTTCAAGACCGTATCAAAGCAAACCTATAAAATAGCATGGTTGTTTATATCTAATGTTGCCCTTTGTGCATTCTCATAAATTCCTCACCTTGTTGGGGGTATCTTATTCGTGAACATTAGCTTGCCCAATATCTCTGTGGGACCCTCCTGTATTGCATTGAAATACTCCAAAACTTCATGATCTGGAACACATAGTGGACAATGGGCATGTGCTTGGATAGACATGATACAATGCATGATTATATTGAGCATTGTTGTATTGTATTTTGTATTTCGGTTAACACTATATTTTTGGCAAGCAATACCTCATTGGAATATTTGTGGATTTTACTCAAATGTTTTATGTGCACCGATACACAGACATACAAGTACAAACCATAGCCTTAGCATAACAAGAGCTTTGCACAAAATATATTCTGAAACCCATTCAGCTCATAGTCATAATTTATTTCTGTATCATAGTCAATTTAAAAGTTACCCTTTAGTGAAAGAATCAATCAATACGAGCAAATATATTTGTTCCATTGCTATGCTAGACTACACTGCACAACATTAGACTATGCTTAACTACAAAATACCTTTAGAGGGACTCTCAGATTCAGCCACTAGAGTACATAGCGTTTTCATTTGTTCATACAAGCTGCTGACATAGTCTAGCCTCCCATGTTTAGTTACATCCTCGGCACTTGAGCTAAAAAACATTGTAAATTTCTTAAGTTGGGCCATGGGCAATGCCCATGGTTGGGCAGAGGAAATAACATTTAATTCTCTTAAGGTGGGCAAAATAACATTAAATTATCTTAAGGTGGACATAGGAGATAAAATTAAATTCTCTTAAAAGTGGATGTAGGAGATAAAATTCAATTCTCTCAAGGTGGAGATAGGAGATAACATTAAATTCTCTAAAGATGGGCAGAGGGGATAAAATTGAATTCTCTTAAGGTGAACATAGGAGATAAGATTAAATTATATTAAATTCAATTCTCTTTAATTGTCTTAAGGTGGTCAGAACTGGAACACTGAATTGATAGCAGCAATAAATGTACTCACCCAAGTTTCAGGTGATCAATCTGACCAAAGGCAACAGACCACTTCTCTAGCACCCTTATTAGATTAGTAACAGCAATCCGCACCTCAGGTTTAGCTTTCTCAACTTCAGTGAATAGATGGCGTACTACTCCAGTGTCAGGTCGTAACATTTTCACTGATCTTACAGCTTTATCAATGGCAGATTCCATCTCAGTGTAAGCATTTGTGTAGATTTTTCTTTGATTTGCTTGTAAAGGAGCAGAGGCTTGAGTCAAAATTTTATTGACTCCACCTTCATTGAGCAACTTCCCTTTTTCTAATATTGCACTTAACTGATTCAAAAAATTGACAAATTCCATCATTTTAGTGATAGGTTTCTTGCTACCTGTCCCTTCACGTCGCGGTGATATTTTCTCACTAGGAAGATATTTTCTGGCGATCTCCAACAGGCTTTCGCTTGCCTCTGGTGTCTTACTAGCAGCACATGCTAAATCTAGCACAATCATTGAGGAGATGAAATCGGCATCAAAACTTGATCCTAATGGAGAATTTACATGGCTTATTTTAGAGTTTAATGGTAGACTTGGCAAAACTGGCCCGCTGAGTATTTCATCAATGGTCCCACTAACTGAGGCTGATTGCATTCCACGTGCTGCTACTTTAGCTAGGCTGGACATGCTGGATTTGGCAGCATTAAGGCGGGTCTTGGTGGGTGTACTAGATACACGCTGCTGGGTCTCAATGTTCTCAAGTTTGTGTAAGGCTGAAGAGTAGAGCTCTCCGAATTCTACCTCCGCAGCTGAAGAGTTGTCGCCCATATTAAATAGCTAAAAAATCGTATCTTTAGAAATGATTTCATATAATTACACATCATTGGTTTTATTGCAGATAATAATCAACTATACAATTAATAAATGCCCAAAGATTCAAACTCATTTCTGTGTAATTCTCTAGTATTGCTTCATTAAATAAAATTCGTTGACAAACCTTGACCACCTGCCCCGCTTGCGCATAATTCCCCCTTTTCAGACACATGTTTAACAAACTCTCCTCTGATGCTAACATCTTAGAGATGACATCCCTCGTTTTAGCCGACCTGGCACTATGATCATCCCGACTTCGGCTACGTGAACGTTTTCGCTGACGTTTGCGTCCTCCTTGGCTGTTGGAACTTGCAGTTGCACTACCACTGTCTGTGAACTGTTTAGAAGAAACTAGGGAGGGTTCTATAAAACATTGAATTATTTAAAACTGATCTCTCTCTCTACCTTTTGGTGTATATGACTTAGTAAGAAAAAATATATCTTCAAGATTGATTGATTTTTCAGAAAAATTTAGAAGATCATGTCATCACTTGAAATTTCTATGCTATAACTATACACTTAACAAATTGTGACTTTTAAACAATTACATACCTTTTTTAGTGAGAGTAGATCTGCTAAGAAAGCGACTTGATTCTTCTGGTTCACTTTCACTTAGTATAGAATCTTCCTCACTTTCACTGGGTGATGTTGTTGCCATGGAGACAGATCCAGGTTGACGAGGTATGTTGCTGCTAGCAACCAACTGAAACCTCCATTGAGCTTCACTTATATATTGAGTCAGTCTAGTTATATGTAATTGCATGGTTTCAACTTTCACACAGGATTCCAGATGTTTGGTGAGCTCTGTTTCAATGCTAGGGGTGACCTCAATACCTGTATCTGATGACCCCTGACCTTGTAATGTATACTTAGCAGAGTTAAGGTCAATAATGCATTCCTTGAGAGTACTGAGAATGTCTCGCACAATGTGTTCATCTGCCAGGAAGCCAAGCTTCTGTTGATTGTTACTCAATACACTAGCAGAACTCATGTTACCACTGGTCTTTCTCTCGGAATCAATTCTGGGAGTCATTCTGATATTTCTCTCAGTTTGGAATTCATCCTCTTTCATTGGAAGTTGTTCTTTTTCCAGTGTTATGACTGTGACATCACTTGGGTCCTCATGAGGGACGGCTTTATGAGGCCAACTGGGGGTAGCCTCTGTTGCTATGGAAATATCAGCCGCTGTTATCTCAAACTGATGCCCAACTTTAGAGAATTCTTCCATCTGGTGGGCAATATTGGGAGTTTCATTGAGATCAACCTGATCTAGCGAGACATCTAAAGATTGTTCAAGGCTGGTGTCCATACTAACAGGTTCATCATGTATGTTATCAGCATCAATATGTTCATTTTCAACAATAATATCATCTTGAATATCATCATGTGTACAGAACAGTAATGAGAAAATATTCTCCAGGAGTTCGACACGATAATTCAATGGGAAGACTTTAGATAGCATTTGTGCTCCTGCTTTAAGTTTCTCAGTCACTTGAATTTTGTATATATCAGTATAAGCTAGCCAATCCTGAGTAGCCATGGGGCTAGCAGGATGTGATCTCTGGAGTTGACTTTCACTGAAATCACTCTCCTCAGTATCTCTTGTCTCATGAGTTGCCTGAACTGATTCAGGATTTGTGCGGCTTGAGCTACGAGATTTCCTACTACATCTATACTGGTTATAGACAGTACTAGAAGGAAAGCTTATGACTTCAATGAAGTGCTTCATTATGACATAACTTCTGTATAACATGACATCACGCTCATGCTCAATGCTGACTGGTCGACTAAATGTTGCATCACTTCCTGTGTGAGTATCTTCTGTAAAGCGTACAGCTTTTTCCCTCTTAACTGATTCACCTTTACCTGAAAAATCACATCTTTTTAAATACATTCTAATGGTTTAGGATTAAAAACTAGATGTACAGTTCAGTATGTAGCGTTCTCAAATCAAATAACAGAAAGTAACCAGCTGCAAAATGGGTAGATCTTCAACCCTCTGAATTCCCTTGTAATTCTAAAATAGATTCTCAAGACAATTATAATGGAAGATGGATAAATACACTCACACAAACATACGCAAATTCAAGACATCCAAAAATCTAATGTGTTTCACAGTATACTAAATACCTATGATTGGTCCACTCCTTAACTGGTGAACAATCTCATCAGGATCCTGACTAGAGAGGTTCAAGGCCTCATTCATGACATACAGTACGCTGTGAACCTCAAGACTCTGTAGTACAGACATAGAGTTCAGGTGGTTGTAGTCCTTCTCAGACCTAATAATAAATGTATGGATCATCAATCCTCCTTCATCAATTATTTATAAAAATAAGCAATATGTTAATCAAACTGATAGGAGTGTAGATTTTGATATATTCAACAAACGGGAGTAATGAGCTGATATATTAGTCCAAGTTTCATAATAGGATTTCCTTGGTGTTTTGGTACAAGTACTGCAAATACATTGGCTTATATACATACATTTACATTGCGCATATTTGCATATATGGTTTCAAATATGAACAAAAACTAAAGTTTTAATCAAAAATTTTTAAATTTACAATGTCTCTATGGCATACCTTGTCTTACTAAGGCACCACTGTAGCAGGTCAAGGTGATATTGCATTCTCTGGAATGTGTTGCTCAATAGCTCATTGCCCAGGTCTTCATCCTAGAATATGTGACAGTTTCAAACAGCATAAAACAACTCATTGTTTCAAATACATGTATGTATGCACTTTATACTGTTGTCTTCTTCCAATTTGTTCAAAAATGAAAAGTTCACCTTCAGATGTTAAACTCAAATGTTAAATAACATTGGATTCAATTACAAGTATAGCGAAGGCAATAGCCACAAAACATGTCCATGTACCTTAACCCATTAATAAATCATGCCATTTCAGATCTGTTTCCTTATTGTCATAAACAAGGTTGACACGATTCATTAGCTCTCATGTGATAAAT